TTATGACCGCTCCCTAAGGTTTTTGTTCACTCTCTAAGGTTTTTGTATTTCGCTCTTGGAAAACACTATCTTTAATAAGCTGCATACCCTGCAAAGAACTAAAAACATCAAGTTGTGATTAAGCATTACGTTAACTATAAATACACACCAGGCGGCGATTCCCAGGGGCCAAGAAACCTTGGAGGCTATTGTTATGGTTGATGATTCCTCCCGAAGGGGCCTCACGTTTCCCTTCCTAATAAACATAAACATATACCGTAAAAGATTCGGAAAGGAATTGTTATTTAGGAAATGGAGTCCTTAGAGCTTTGATTTAGCTCAGTTTGCTGTAGATTCTCGAACGTTTTGTTCGATAAAATGTTATGTTATTTAAACTGTATTTTTATATCCATGTTATTATTACTTTTATTCGCCTGATTGTAGTTTTGAAATAAAACCCAAAGATTGCTAAGTTTTTCCTCATTTCTTTATCTATTCTATGCGGATTGTCATTCACTATATTTCGATTTAATAATTATTTGATAATCAATAATAATTCATTTGTTAGTTTTTATATAATCCTGAACGAAAATGTGGAACGTTCGAGTGTAATGTTAGAGTTTCAAAGGTCTTGTGTGCCATTGAATCTCGGAAAATCTTTCTTGGCAACAGTTAGTTTCTGCCTTGTTTGAACCTGGTCTGTAAACCACAAACGTTAAGAATTTCAAGAGATTTTTGTTGTGCTGTTTACTTGAATACTAGTAATGTCTGTCTGATATAAGAACTGTACACATAGTTTTCCTCGATGTTCATGTGATGTATTGGAAAACAATAACTACAATTGAACAGCTCGGTGTGAAAGCCGCCACATTACATCGAGTACATCGGTATTCAGGCGTAAACAAGCACTCAGCACCCACCCCCACCCCCATCAAATAAGAAATCCACTGAAGAATAATTATTCAAACCCTGCATATTTTGCTAATTCCTGAACTGAGCTCTGACTGGCTCGCTGCTCCCTAAGGATTTTGGTGACGTCATATATTAGCATAGAACTTCACCGAATAGACTACCCCCATTAGATAGTAAATATCTATAAGTGTCCTCATAGTACGATGGTCTAAGAGGGTAGCTAAAGGTATGCTCTAGTGGGCGGCTACCCCCTCACTCCCTGACCTTTTGGTTAAGACTAAGTTTTATGTTCACTCGGGATAACGTGGAAGAGCCGAAATCTCTAACCGTAACGTAAGCCGATTCGACGCCTCAGCTTCATAGAATGTCTCGGGGGAATCGTCCCATCTTTTTAGTTTTTTTTTATTTTCATTATTTTTTATGTATTCCGGGGGGGTACATCTTATCCTAAAGTGAAAGTCCTGAGTTCGAACCCTGCTGCTGGGATTTTTCTTTTTTCTTCTTGAATGTTTCTTTTTTGTTTCGTGTTTTCTTTTCTTCTTTCTTTTTTTTCTTTTTCTTTTCTTCTCTTTTCTTTGCTGTTGTTGTTTTTTTCCTTTATAAATTTTCTCTTTTCAACTTTATATCAAGGACTCGCAAAGATCGCCTGCTGCAAGCACGGGTAGCCCATAGTGAGAGGGAAAAATTCATAAAAGTTCTGAAAATCGCCCCACTGAGAGATTACCAGTAGCTATAATAATGCACTCAATAAGTTATAGCCAAATTTATTGTATATTTATGCCACAAATCAACTATTTACATAGATTCACATACATTCTCTTATATCAAGTAAAGAGCTTGAGCTACCCGTGTCTACAAGTGGATGGTTGCGGTTCGGTCACAGATGACATAGTGACGAGAGGCCCCATAAGGACTTTCGTCACAAAAATCAATAATCCTTGATGAGTTCCCTTCCGTTTCTTCGCTCCGCCCCCAACGAGGAACGCCTGCACGCAGGCTAATTTGACAAAAGAAAAAGTACCCATGATGTTGAACTTGGAAATACGAGCTAACCTAATACTATATGAATTATGACATCAAACGAACATAAAACCTATTTTTCAGAATAACAGATTTCAGAATCCCGACGTTGTCGATGACTTTTTCATCAGAGGTAAATATACTATCCCTTGTATTGCTTATTAAATTTTATTATTTATTAGATTAAAAGCACCATTCTTTTGTTCCTTTTTGGCAGCTGTGGTACTTAACGACTCGAGAGTGGAGAGTGCTCTTCCTACATGCCCATACCAACCAAAATATCTACTAAGAAACATTACGTGGAAATACACATCTCATTATGTTGTAAGTTTAGACGTGGAATAACGAGAAACGTAAATTATAGAATTTGTTCAACTTCAGAATAAAATTTATTTTCCTTCTAAATATATTTTACTTTCGATAAAACATGTTTATCTTAGATGTTAACATGTGAAAGCATTTCCTATCAATTTTAAGTTCTATCATCACCATGGTTTAATTTAAAAAAAATAATAACTTTTACATATCTATTTTATACGGACCCCTTACACCAGACAGCTTTATCTGGAGAGACAAAAAAGATGTTTTCTCTCTTGGGTACTTGAACGGATTGTGGCCTCCCATGCACACCACAGGTAGCCCAAGCACTGGACTTGAGGCAGTGAAAAACGAAAAGTGGTAAAACTGAATAAAATTATTTCAAACTACAACATAGTGTGACAATTGTCATAATATATATAAGTAGGGGAAAGTTTAACATAATGAGCTGAAACTTCACAGGGGTGTTGAGAAAAATAGAAGAACATTATGTGGTAGTTTGAAATAATTTTATTCAGTTTTACCACTTTTATCGAACTTTTCGTTTTTCACTGCCAAGTCCAGTGCTTGGGCTACCTGTGTGCACACTTGAAAGCGCGCTCCCATGTACCTCAAGGGACTACAACATCATGCAGTGTAATGTTGATCTCAATGATTCATGATTATTGACTAATTCAGTATTGATGATTTTAGATTCAGAATAGTTTGGTTTATCCTGATGATAAGACGTCCCTTTTCCGCAATACTAATAGCTACAAGAAAGGCAATGAGATTATTCCTGAAGGGGTACTAATATACTTTGATTCTAGAGTTTAATCATCACGTTTACGACAAACGACTAGAGGCAGACCTGAACCAATGACCTAAGAATTTCGTGCCTGACTTTGTGTTTTTTAGTTATCGGTCATTGGAAAGAGCGCCGACTTTTCACGATTATGGCAAATTCAAAATAATCCACTCTCGCGTTGAAACTGTAACGGTAAACCCCCAAAAAGCAGGTCACGTGGTCTTTTCTGCCGTTTGCAGTTTGCCGTAAACGTCATGCTTTTAAAAGCTCTCTAAATAGGTCATGCAATCTTCGCCAAGTGTTTTGTCAAAAACAAGTTGCATTACTTATTTCCCAGACAGGCCTTTGAGTACACTATGCGTTTTGCAGCAATCTTATTAGAATTTCGTAGAAATCTCCACATTAATACGTTCGTCTATACCATGATAAACTTCGGCACAACATGACGTCATTAGCGAAGAGRTCCGTTTTTGAAGAGACTGTCGTAGTTAACAAATCTGCACTATCAAATCAACAACCAGGATACTTGCCTGCCTGAATATAATGCAGCCAAATAAAAAAACCTCTCTTTGGTTTTTGCAACAGGAGGCCAAAAATGTTGCTGAGAGCTACTTGAACACTTTGAATGCACAAACAAGGTTTGTTATAATGTTCTGCTATTACTAAACAAAATACTATTTATTCAATAAAAAATGAATTTATCTTTCAAAGTCTACGAAATCATTCTTGCAACTGCGAGTGTTTTCAATTTTTTTAGAAACAGATTCGAGCTGAACCGAATCGCTCACATGACAGCCAAGTATGATCCTGACGGCGGTGTTCGCTACTTTATGGAGCTGGTACGTAAAAGCAACAAGCTAATTGCAATTATCGAATCAATATAAAATACTAGTCCTTTTTAACGCATTGATTCTTGTATATAGGACCTTAAAGATCAAGAAAACGGTAACCTGATTATATGTGGTTATATGATATAATAGTAGTCGCTGACTTAAGTATGTAAATCTCGTATTCCATAAATCAATACTGCAAGTTCCTAATGATGATATCAAAGCCTAATCTGAATGCATACTTTCGCTTTGATCCTGACTTGTTCCTGGATGAGTGAATAGTAGGTAAATCTCGCTTGGACCCTCCCCTCCCTCGCCTCTTGGTTACTGAGGTGTCCATGCAGTGAGACGGTGGACATATTGATCGGCTGCTGCTGAGGTCTGAGGGGGTTCAGTTGCAACAGGAAAAACCTGCATGTCTTTTGATGGCCATGACGATGATGATGGTGATGATGATGATGATGGTGATGGTGATGATGGTGGCGACGATGATGGTG